TGATACAAACTGATTTTGCTTCTGTGACTCCCTGTTCTTTCTGGTGTTACTGTTGCTTTAGTATTATAACTATGTAGATGACCTTGGAGTTAAAATAAGCAGTTAGAGAAAAGTAGACATAATTTTCAATTAATCTTTTTTTTTCTTTTTCACTTCCTGTTTTTGTTATTTGGTTGTTTTTTTTTCCCTCAGTTTGTATGTAGCTCATTAAGTACCTCCTGATCCCCATGGTCTCCTTTTCACCCATCCCAACTCAGTTTTTAGGAAAGATTTTTGAAACAATAATGCCTAGCTTATTTCCCAAATTTCTGTTCTGAGGAAAGCATGGATGATGCTTAGAAGGGGGCACCATGGGCTTAGACTGCTATATTTCCTTCTGTGGGGTGATGCTTTTCCCCCCACAAGAAGTGAGGGGAGAATAAGGCATAAATGGGGAAGAAGTTTTATAAATCTTATTTAGTCAGCTGAATGGTATTTATTACATTGTGAATTCCCAGAATGTCATTTAAAGTTTGTACTATATAATTCAACATTAAATATATGCTGTTTGTATTCCTTTAATTTTTTTTAATGTCTTTTAGTCTCATTTCCCAAACAGATTGTAAGCTCTCTTGAGAGTAAGCACCATCATACTTTGATATCCCATAGAGTACCTACCAAAGTGCAGGGCACAATAAATATCTGGTTGGTTTATTAAATAAATATCACACATCTATATATTCACATGCATTCTGAAGCTAGATAACTAGATAAGGTAATCCAATTTTAGCCTCTTTTTTTTCTTTTTTTTTTTTTTTTGGTATGAAAGATCAAACATCTATTAGAAGACACTGAAATGAAGAATAAAATTCTGAGTGTTAGCTGTTTGTTTCTTTTTCTACTAAATCGATATAAAATATTATTATTTTAATTGTAGTGTTTAAGTTTTTATAGAGAAAGGAAGATATCTAAGTGCCTATGAGTAAACTTTTTATGTTGAGTAAAACACCATTTTTACTAAGCACCATTTGATTTGTGTTGTACTATATCAAAATTAGTCTAACCTTACTCCTGCCACAATTTTCAGTATCATGGTGATTGTCTTAGTGATGGCATTCAAGTTAAGAAAGGAAACAGTCATTGTTCTTTGACCTTTCCTTGCTGTCATGAACATCTAGAACCCTTTAGTGACTTAAAGGTTTCAAGCTGTAGACTTTGCAGATGCCATGCTACTAGAGACTGAGGAGATGTGCCAGTCTTACCCTGTATGATGTTTCTTCGAGCCATGTAGGGCTTTCTCATGGCCTTGACATGAAAGCAGAATATTTAATTCAAGAATTAATACCATCTCTGTGGAGTGTATTTCTATACTAACTGATTGTACTGTCAATCACCAATCACCTTTATAAAGCACCTACTATGCAAGGCATTGTGCCAGGTTATGGAGATACAAATGCAAAGATTCGGACAGTCCTTACCAACAAAGATCCTTCTCATAGTCCCAGTGCCTTTTTTGGACTGCTCCCATTTCCTTTGAGTTTTTAAGTGTTTTTTTAAAGTAAAGATGCCAAGAATTAACACCTGTCACTTTCTGGGCACACATTAGTGATAGCAGTAGAAAGCTTTCCTGCTTCCCCTTCTTCTCCTTCTCCTCCTTCCTATCATAGGAAGCTTTGGATTCTACTTATTAGGCAGAAATAGGCATCTAACATGTCTCATAAATTCTGAATTTGTATGACATTTCAAAATGAACCAATCATGTAGAAATATTAAAACTGATCAAAAGTAAAGTAGTTGTTTTCAAGATTTTTTTTTTAAATTCACTTATTTGTAAAGCTTAAAAAAATTTTAGGTTGAAGTTTGCACCTATAGAGTATCTAGTTCTTTGAAGAAGTCCCGTGTTTCCATTTTGATACTTTGTTTAAGCATTTAAGAATCTTGGGTAAGTAGTTCAGGGTAATAGAATGATGGATTTTGAATTAGGAGACTTGAATTTGAAACTGGACTGACACTGTGTGGTCATAGGGAAGTCACCTCACCTTTCTGGCCCTCAGTCACCTAACCTTTTTAGACTGTTTCCTCATTTGTAAAATGAGGATGATAATTGTTCTACCTACTTCATGGGGTTTTTGTGAGGAGGGCTCTTTGCAAACCTTTAAAGCACTGTATGAATATGATTTTTTATTGTTGTCTACATTAGAGATGAAGAGCTATAGGACTACTATGTTATGTAACATACAACATCCATAGCATAAACATAGCATATTTTCCTATGGAATATGAATCTAAATCTGTGAAAAATTATTTGCCAGCATTTATTAAGATACTCTGTTTAGGGCACTGTATTTTGGAAAGCATTTTGTGAATTCCCCCCAGCAGACTGACTTTTATGATTAATGGTCGTTAGCTAACACCAGTATATCTAGAGCCACAGAAGTTCAGAGTGGAAAAGACCTCAGGGACCATCTAGTCCAAGCCGTCCCCCAAAAAAGAATTCCCTCTACAGTATGCCTGCTGTGGGGTCATTTGGCCCTTGCTGAAACATCTGTTATGGATATCCACTTATGGATAACTCTTGTTAAGAAGATTTTCTTGACATTGAGCCTAAATTGACCTTGTGTAATTTCCACTCTTTGCTCCTATGTCTGCCTTAAGTAGAACAAGTCCTCTTCCAGCTGAAGGGTTTCAGATGTTAAAAGATAGCTATCAAATCCCCTCTGAGTCTGCCCTTCTCCAGACTGGATATTCCCAGAGTCCTTGAGATTTCTGCTAGTCCTCAAGGCTCTTTCACCATCTCCCTTAGATGCTGCCCAGCTTATCAATGTTATTTGTCAAATGATGGAGAGCCAGGTGGTGCAATGGATAGATTGCTGGACCTGAAGTCGGGAACACTTGTCTTTCTGAGTTCACATCTGGCCTCAGACACTTAGTAGCTGTGTAACCATGGACAAATTACTGAACTTAGTTTCCTCATCTGTAAAATGAGCTGAAGAAGGAAATGGTAAACCTCTCCAGTATCTTTTCCAAGAAAACCCCAAATGGGATCGTGAAGAGTCGGGCACGACTGGAAACAACTAAACAACAACAGTATCCAGAGTGGAATATAATGTTTCTGGTGTGGTCTCACCAGAGTTGAATTCCTCGGGACTTTATTCTCATTTCTGGATGTGAACAGCTTCCTTTTTGCAACATAAAATCACATTGGTATAAGATTTAACATGTTTCTCTTGAATTTAATTGTATTAGATTCAACCTAGTGCTCAACCTGTCTATCCTGTTAAGATCTTTTTGTATCCTGACTTTGAGGATATCCAGAGTGTTAGTTATTCCTCTAATTTTTGCCTTATCTGTAGACTTTCTGTTGGCAGTTGATTCAAATCATTGATAGTTGATAAAATGTTAAGTTGCCCCGGGCCAAGTACAGATTCCTGGGCTTTTGGGAACCACTTTCCGAGAATAAGTTGTCTGGGTTTTCCTTGTGAATCCTATTCAGCTAGGTCTGAACCCATCTGTCATCTAGCCTACATCTTTTCCACAGGAATAACATTAAAGACTTTATCAAATTGCACTTATAATGAAAACTAAATAAGATTGGCTTGCATTCAATGAGTACCTAACAATTTACTGTAAGATGGAGAGGGCCTAGAAATATAATGGAGAGTCAAGTTTGGATGTCAGGAAAATAAAGTAGTTTAACTTTTAAAAAATGATTTTTGGGGTGGCGCAGCTAGGTGGCGCAGTGGATGGAGTACCGGCCCTGGATTCAGGAGGACCTGAGTTCAGATCTGGCCACAGACACATAACATTTACTAGCTATGTGACCCTGGGCAAGTCACTTAACCCGCATTGCCTAGCCAAAAAAAAAAAAAAAAGATTTTTTTTTTTTTATGGGAGAGCCAGGGAAATTCCTAGTCTTTTATTGGAGGGAAGAAAACATTACAACACATCCCAAGTAAACCAGTCCAGGGGCTCAGTGGCTAAACTGGTGGGGTACCAGCTTGTAATGGGTTCCACAGTTAGGGCAATGCTGTGTCTGGCCTTTGTGAAGCCAGAACCAGATGACTGCACTGTTGTCCTCTTCACAGACACAGCCCACTATTCGCTTGTCAGTGATAGAAGGGACCTCCTTAGTCCCTAGAGCTGCCTTTGTGGCTAGGATGTTGTATGGATCCGAATCATCTCTCGCAGCGATCATAATCTCTCTCTCCAAGCCAGTGGCCTGCCCCTCATCAGAAGGGATATCTCCTGCGTTTGCTATGGAGCAAGCAGCCACCTGAGCAGGGCCACAGGCCCTCAAGGCCTGGACCACCAGCGCCCTGGTGCCCCGCAGTAACCTTAAAGCCATCCCGCCTGAGACAACTGCAGAAGATTTTTTTTTAAAAGAATCAATGAAGCCTACTGGATAAAATTGAGTGACTTTCCTTGGGAGTCAGGAAGACCTGGGTTAAAATCTAGACTGTGATACTAATTAGCTTTTGACCCTAGGAAAGTCATTTAACCCATAATACTTTTCTAAATCTTGGACTTACCCCTAAGTTGGTGGACTAAGTCATCTAAACTGAGAATTCATTGATCCTTCAGTATTAGCATATGGGCAGTCCAAAAAATTACTTACCTGCATACAGGATAGTAAAAAATGTTTCATGTTGACCATTCATGATGACAATTTAATTATCTTTTGTTAGAGAAAAAGATCAGCAGTGAAAAGCTATATAACATTATGTAGATTTAGAAAATTAACCCAAAAACCTAGTATTATTTTTTCTCTAGTATCATGTATGTCATACTTTAAAGCAATTTTTGTTATGTTTGAAAAAGAAATTATTTCTTGATGTAAGAAAACCTTAAAAAAAAACTTTTTTTTGCTTCCAAATATAAATAATAGACTAGTATTCTAAAAGTGTTTGTTACTTACTTTTATATATATATGAGTCAAACTTTTATCATGTCATGCAGATCTGTTATGTATATGGGTCAGTATCACCATAAACATAATCTTGTACTTGCCATATTTCTTTCAGGGGAAGGCAGCCAGCATCCTTTTGGAGCCATGAATATTACCCGTACTCCAACTGTTGCACAGATTGGCATTTCAGTGGAATTACTGGATAATCTGGCCCAGCTGACTCCTGTGGGCAGTGCTGCTGTATCATCAGTTGATTCATTCACTCAGGTAATGTGAAAAAATAGAGAACAATTTAGCATACTTTAAAAGTCAGCCTGTTGGTTGTACAAATGTGAACATTGTTTAAATATAACATTTACCAACCTATGCACAGAAACTGGTCTTCTTGTTTTCCCACCAAATATTTTGATCAGTTAAGAAATATCCAATGTAAGTGTTAATTTTTTGGATAGGAAGATTAGCTGAGTGAATTTAAGTGGAATGTTGTCACAGCTGACATTTACACAAACCTGTCAGGGGCTGTGACTTCTGAGTCTCTGACATGTTATAAAGTCCTGTGCATCAGCATGCATCAGCACTCTGCTTTAACTGAGCAGAGGAATACCGGTAGTGTTTTTTGTCTGCTTGACTAAAAATGCACTCTTTTCAAAATTAGAATAGAGAAAAAGGATTTAAGTATAAAGAAGAGATTCTTTTTGTATTAAGTACAAAAAAGTACTTTGTGTGATATGCTATCACATTGTTTACTGGATTTAAAAATTAATAGCATCTAATGTGGACGTAGTAAAGAAAACAACAAATAAGTTCTCATAAAGTGTGAATTAAAATGAGTTTATAACATAGTAGGAAAGTATTTCTTGTTCTGTCATTTACAAAGTGATGTGAATTCACTTAATTACTTGAAAAATGGGAACCTATATGTTTATGATTTATTTATTTACTCATTTAATTATTTATTTATTTTGGCTAGGCAATGGGGTTAAGTGACTTGCCCAAGGTCACACAGCTAGTAAGTGTTATGTGTTCTGAGGCCAGATTTGAACTCAGGTCCTACTGAATCCAGGGCCAGTGCTATAGCCATGGAGCCACCTAGCTGCCCCATGACTTATTTATTTTAAAGAGACAGTAGATCAAAATGGATCGAGTTGACCCTGAAGCCCAGAAAAATGAGAGTACAAGTATTGCCTTTGATCCTTCTTGGCTATGTGACCCTGGGCAGGTGTTGTAGGTGGCCCTCTGAGACTAAATGTCAGAGAAACTTTCAACCTGCATTGATGAGAGAGTCTCCTATCCTAATGACATTACAGATCCAGGCCCCATTCCTATTCATATTAGACTAGGGGGAGGGAGGGGCTGTGGAGATTATGGGTGAGTATTGGTCTTTATCCATTTAAAACATTTTTTCTTTAAAGCATAAAAAATTCAAATTTTCTAACTTAAACTGATTGCAAATAAAAAGCATGTCCCAAATATGTGCCTTTAGTATTTGATTTGCTATCCATTAATTATAGTTCAAATAGTTTAATTTTTTTTGTTCTTTCTCCTACCTTGTCCCCTCCCCTTTATTTTAGAATTAGTCTCTTCTCTTATCAACATTGATGTTTTTGTATAATTGTTTTCTGAAGCAGTCTTTCTAATTCTGTTTTTAAGGAGGGTCCTCCACTATAAAGTTCTTAAAAGTGTTATCTACAGTTGATATTTGACTTTGAATTTTTGTTTTTGAGAAAGGTGGAAGGAAGAGAATGATTTTCTAGTGGTCAAAAAAGTGGTGCTTAGCACCTGACTTAACTTTCACCTTTGTGACCTAAGTACCTTGTTTAATTAACTCTGTGTTTATACTGTCCTGGGCACAGCTTTGAGACTGGTTTTTTGTTTTGAAAGGGCTGGGAGTATTTATATTGGGAAAAACATTTTTTTCCTTTTTATGTACATTCTCAAAATTTTTAAGCTTGGAAATTAAAACCATTTGATAAGGACTGCTTTTGAATTATAAAGGCAGTACTAAAGAAATGCTTATGACTTCTAGAACAATAGCATGCTGAAAATGCACAAAACTGTCAAAACCTATTCAAGGGAAAGATGCCCACATTTTAAGACTACAATTAACTCTGGGGCACCAGTAATAAATAGTTCAAGACTCACTGTTTGACAAGACGAGAAGGGGATATTTTATTTCATTTCATAAATAATTAGCTATAATATCTAAAAAAGTTAAAGAACCAAATAAACAGTATTTTTTGGCATTGTATAGTAATTTATGAGCTGTTTATTTACTTTTCAGTTTACTCAGAAGATGTTGGACAACTTCTACAATTTTGCTTCATCATTTGCTGTGTCTCAGGCCCAGATGACACCAAATCCATCTGAAGTTTTCATTCCAGCAAACGTGGTTCTGAAATGGTGTGTGAAAATATATGTTTTCACTTTTAATAACATTTATTTCCTGACAACACAGTTATAAAATCAGAGGGAATGAATATGTTCTTTATTGTCAGGAATACTGATTTTGGTGTCAGTGGACTTCTGTCTGAGCCTCAAATCTACTGTTTACCAGAAAGCATATTACAGTAGAAAGAACATTGACTTTGGAGTCATAAGACCTGGCTTCAAGTCCTTCTTTGAAATAAACTCTGTGACCATGACCAAGTCAGTTAATCTCTCTGGACCTCAGTTTCCTCATCTGTAAAACGAGGAGATATGAGTAGATGGCTTCTGGGGTGTTTTCCTATCTGTGTGACCCTTGGGTCTCATTTTACTCATTTGTAAAATTGAGTTACATCAGATAATCTCTAAGATCTCTTTTAGTTATAAATCTGTTGATCCTGTGATTGTTCCTGTGTTTTGTTGATCATGTCATTTTGCAGCCAAACAGACTTTTAAAGAAATTGTCTTTATCTCATCATTAACAATAAATATTCATTTAGTGGCTGTTTACTTGCTTGAAGTTCAACTAGGTACCACGGAGTTAGAGAGTACAGTTGTGCCAACCAGGCTCATTTATGATAATATTATTCATGTGTGGTGGCCACACTCTACCATAACCACCCTAACCTTGTTATAGCCTTGTGCTTAGTTAGCACTTTTTCTCCCAGGTGGTTCTTCCACATACCATCCTGGTATAAGAGCATAGGAACATAAATTTAAAGCTGGAAGGGATCCCCAGAAGCCATTGAGTACAGATGCTCATTATATAGATGAGGAAACTGAGGTTCAGACAGGTAAAATGACTTGTCCAGGGTCACACAGGTAAACCCAGGCCTCTTACCATCCAAGCCACTACTTTTCCCCCTGTACCATAATGTTTTCTAGTCCAGAGGTATCAGACAAGTCCTGGTGCTGCTAAAACCAGATAATTGGGAAGTATTTAACAAAATAAATAAAAATACAGTTTTCCCTTCCACATTGTGACTTTCCCCATTGCAGTTACACTATATCACAGTTTGGCACTAGAAATTAAATGAGAATTTTTTGGGAGTTTTGCAGAAGCCACAGGCAGCATGTGAAGGCCAGCAAACAGCAGAAAAAGTTTAGAAATTCAGAAACACATAAAATGTATGTATAGTATTGTATAATATCTTCTTTGTACGAAGGGAGGGCCAAAAAATTTTACATAGATCTTGCAGATTGCAGGGGCATCCCCTAACCCCTGTGATGTGGAGGGGATAATAGTACAATGGAATATAATGTTAAGAAGTGGTTTTCTAAGTCAGCATGGGCCACTGGGATGGGTAACCCATTTCTAACTTGTGGTGGACACCGCTGCTTTAGTCTGCCTTTGTCATTTCATGGATGAGGAAAGTGAGCCTCAGACATATTAAGTGACTTGACCAAGGTCATGTAGGTTTTAAGGATTTGAATGTAAGTTTTCTGACTTCACATCTGTGCTCTTTACCACTGCTCCACCCTGCTGTGTTCTCTGCAGGTCTGGTTTTCCCTCGACATGGTAACCTCTTATAAAGTTGTTTTCCTTAATGTCATGTTTTCATGGAATTGATTAATAGTATATGTAAGAAATTCCTGTGCATACTGCCCTAGAGGATTTTAAAACCAAGGAGGTTTTTTTTTTTAATACATAAAAGCAAAAAATGTTATCTGGAGATTTTTGGAAATATTAAAGATTTTAAGTTAGTTAAGTTAATTTACATGTACTTTGAAGGCATATCTAGAAAGACTTAAAATTTGGTCATATCAACCTTCAATAAGTATTTACAATTTAGAAGCAATAATGGTCTACATAAAAATCGGGACATGCTACTTCAGAATTTTTATGCTTCTGTAGTTTGCTACAAAATCTATAGCTATAAGTGATTTCAAGTTCCATGTTTTTTATACTTTGTAGGACAGCATTTTGGAATGAGGTAATGTATGTAAAGGCAAAGCACTTTATGTACCTTAAAGCTCTACATACATTTCAACTGTTAATAATTAGTTATGTCAGCGTGAGTGGCATAGGAGTTGAAAAGAACCTAGGCTTGGAGTTGAGAGAACTATATTTTAATCCAGCTTCTTGACTCTTACTAGCTTTGTAACTATTGTACGCCACTCGAGGAAACAACTAAGTTTCTTCATCTGTAAAATGGAGATAATACTTGTAGTACATACTTCAAATGAGGTTGTTTTTGAGGATCAAATAAGAAAGTGTATGTAAAGTGTTTTGTAAACGTTCAAATAACATAACTGTCCACTATTAACATTATTATCAATATAGTCCCTGATTGCTTTGAATTTGAAATTAAACGAATGCCAGTGAAATTAAAATACCTAATTGTAACTCCTCTTTACTAGGTAGTTGCTCCCCCTCCCCCCTTTTTCCATTTGCTAACTTGTTTTCATTTTCTGCTATGCCCTGACTTGTGCATAATTTGGCATATGGTAAGAAATACCATTTAAATTTTCTTACATGTAATTCTGTTTGCTTTCTTTTCTAGGTATGAAAACTTTCAAAGGCGACTAACCCAGAACCCTCTTTTTTGGAAAACATGATTTAAATAAAGTAATTTTTAAAGGGTTCTGAACCACTGTCATATTTTGAAGATAATAAACCAACCACCATTTAAAAGCATGAGGATGAAAGAGTAATGAAATCTAAACTGAAAAATTGCTTCTTAATTATTAAACTTAATTAAAATTAAAAAATTAGTTAAATTAAAAACATAATCTAAAATGTGCTCACTGTTGATTTTTTTCTTTACAGATAAAAAAACTTCAAAAAGAATAAAAGCACTTAATCTGAATATGCGCTAATTAAAATAGATTTTTAACAGTCATGATTTTGATGCCTGAGGAATATAAAACTTAACAAAAATGGCATCACATTTATAAGTTCTATTTAGTTTATTTTAACAGTTTTGTTCCAGATTCAATAACCAATTACATAAAATTTCTATTGTAGATTTCTCCCTTTAAAAACTTCATAAATATATAAATTTCCATGTATTAGAAAATAACATACAGCTAGTTTTTTCTTATGACTAAAGTAGTCTCAAGTTATGAAAAGTGGCTGTAGTTTTTATATTCTGAAAGCTCATACTTTTTTCTCTGCGTGTTTAGTAAACTTGTTCATTAATGAGCACGAATAATGCTCTATGTTTATAGAATGTTGAAATTCCTTAACTGTGCATGTTTAGAGTAAACTTGGGGTTGGAGGGAGGAAGGGAGAATAAAAAACCAACACTTTTCTACTTTGAAAAATCTTCATGCTTTTAAAAAAATACTTGACACACAAATAAACCTTGTGTAAGCCAGGTTTCTTGATTTTTTTTTTTTTTTTGGTGCCTGTTTGATGGGAGGGCAACTATACTTAGAGATCCTTATGTTAACCAGTCTCTTGATAGTCCAGTAGGATTAGTGTGACTGTTTTTGATATAAAAGGATACTTGTGCTTTTTTTTTTCTATGACCCTTTATGATTATGTTTTCATAACAAATTAGTTTTTAATTAATCTAGGCTTAATTTCACTACGCCATTCCATAAAGATTAGGTCTTATGTAACTTGTGTTATACCATTGCAGAGCTTAAATAGTTACTCTTTACAGAGTCAAGGAAAAGGAAACTGAGAGAATCCTTAGCACCTACTTGGAGTATTTGGTCCAGCTATAATGATGATTAAGTGGGGAAAGCTAGTAAGCAGCATTTCTTGTCATGTTGACAGACTTGTTATCTCTTTATGACAGATTTTAAACAAGGTAGCTTAAAGTCTTTTCATGAATTTATTTATGTGTTTAAAATCAGCTTACTTGGATTTTTTTGCTGGGAAGAAGCCACAAGGCCTCACCAATTCCCTTCTCTTTTACTTCCAGTGGACCAGTACTGCAAATTATCTCACATACTAGTGAATTGCTCTCATAACAATTTTACTAACCCTATTACCTCATTTTATAGCTTCTTGAAAGGATACTTTTTTGGGTGATACAAGGGTAAGAGCTATATTTTTGTTGCCAGTGCTTAAACATTTGAGAATATTACCAAAATATGCTACTTAGATGTGAAGTCATTGAATTTCGCAGAGGAGTAATAGCTAATGTTACCCTAATTTAAACAGAGGCCACAACTGATTAGATTTGGTTCTGTGGATCACAGAAAATAACTTTTCACATGAAAATAATGTGACCTGTTATATCTTTGCACACAAGACATCATAGTTTACTTGTATTTAAAATATATGGCAAAAATAGAGCCTCTCCCATCCCATCTCTATATCCCTAAAATGAGATCTTATTGAAAGTTAAAAAAAAAAAAAGTTACAGGCTGAAGAATATCACTGACTCTAGACTGTGTGCTGGTTTTATATTAAATCAAATTCCGAGAAAAAAATATGCAACACCCCTTTGGACCAATATGGTACTTTTGTTTTTATTCTGACAAATTGCCTCTTAATCAGAGCCCCTCAAAAACATATACATTCACATTACATAAATTCCACTTTATGTAAAGAATTCTGAAAGAAATCCACATTCCAAAACACACTTACGTTAACTTTATAGTACTGTGCTGTCTTTCTTTTTTATTTAGATAAATTGCCTCTTAATCAGAGCGTTATTACATACAGACAGTTCTTGCTTTGTACACATTCCTATTATGCAAATTTGACTTTATGTAAAGAATTCTGAAAGAAATCCACAGTCCGAAAAAACACCTATGTTAACTTGACTGAACAGTACTGTACTCTTCCTCTTTGCTCCTGCCCCTCTGCTAGGTGCCATGGCCTCCTACCCCTACATGAAAAAACTCTCTCCAAGTGAAATCAGAAGAACTGATGCTCTACCATTCCACTCTGGATTAGGGGCGTGGCTTGAGATCTTTGGCAAAGAGAGGAGAGCTTTGCCCTGCTCTGCATACAGGTCCAGCCCCTGTCTTCTGCCCATCCCTGCTAAGTACCATGTGTCTGTCCCCTTCCCCCTTTCCCTGTGTTGCTAGTCCTCTCCTGTTCATGTCTGGCTCCCACATGTCTGCTCCCCACAGTGTTCTTCCTCTTGTTCAGGCCGGCTCCCTTTCCACCCTGGCCTGGCACCATTGTGTTCCTCCTCCTGCTTTTGTTTCTCTGTGCTCTGCCCCTGCCTGTCTTAGAACCTTGTACTGGCCCCCTCCCTCCACAAATGGGTGGTCCCCTTTCTGCCTCCCCTCCTCATTTCCCCAGATCTGTGTGCAAATTTGCATTATGTAAAAATTGCTTTACATAGAGGTCTGCAGAAAAGTTCACTTACCTAAAGTGAGAGTGGTCTACTTCATGTATATACTTGCTTCTGCTAGTTTTTGATTTTTTATGGCCCAGGGTCATGACGAATTTATTGCTAGCATTAGGGTGATATGTTGGTAAGAGTGAGAATTGAAGAGGCAGGCTCACAAGTATAATAGTTGTAGGTTTAAATCAAATAATCGTTTTTACTTAATAACTCAACGTGAAAGGGATTGCTGGTTGCATATTATTATATCAGTACTGCATGTATGGTCACAATTAGAAGCAACATTTTTAAATATGAAGAAAATTGTTTAACTATTTCTACATATACTAAAACATAGTGCTTGTTTTCAGCCTGTACAAATGACAGAAGACTGATGGGGATTGGCATACCTGTTAGGTTGCACGTTTTCAGTGCATGGTTGACCATAAAGCTAAAGCCATAAGGGAAAGGAATAGGATTGTATACCTATTGTAAGGATTGTTCTCCTTTTGACTTTTCTAAATACAAAATGTCTTTCTGACTACCTTTCCCTTCCCTCTAGCAGTTTGAGCATCAAGCAAGTATAAGTCAGTGTTTGAAGTTTAATTCAGTTTCATGTTTTATCCATAAAACATGGATGGTTTAGTTAACTATTGTGAACTGCAATCTAGCACCTTTTCTGATCTTCCTTAGTTCCTAAGGTAACTTTGAATTTTTGAAAACTGCTGATTTTTCCATTTTAAAAATTGGAGTACCAATAAGCATTATCTCAGGGGAAGACCCTGCCAGTGCACTTTGTACGTAATTATCTAAATGGTAGGAAGTTGAGAGTAAGTGTGAACTTATCAAATAGTAGTAGTGCCTTTGGGGTTGTTCTATGCACAACAGTGCAACTGGTCAGGGAAAGGCTATCTGGTCTTAAAACTTGGTTTAGATTAGTAATGAAAATCGCTCTACTAAAACAACTGTTAAGGATTGAAACTAGGTAATTACATTTAATAATATCAAAGAATGCTGTTGATGAGTCCAGTACAATATGGAATAGATGGCCCTTTCTAGAAGAATTGATTTAGCCCCTTTTCTAAAGAAAGACCTAAAAACCTGACTGGTTGATTATCAGATAATTGCAATGAATTCATAGAAAGAACTTAAATTTTTTATTTTACTCTAAATAATATTTTTTTCCCCAATTACATGTAAAAACAATTTTTAACATTTGTTTTTAAAAATTTTGAGTTCCAAATCCCCTCTTTCTCTCCTTTTCCTCCCTTCTCTTTGAGGCAGTAAGCAATTTGGTGTAAGTTGTACATGTGCAGTCATGCAAAACATTTCCAGGTTAGTCATGTTGTGGGGGGAAAAAAAGACACCCCCCCCCAAAAATGGGAAAAAATAAAGTGACAAAGTATGCTTCTATCTGGATTCAGACTCTATTAGTTCTTTTTCTGGATGTGGCTAGCATTTTTCATCATGAGTCCTTTGGAATTGTCTTGGATCGTATTGCTGAGAATAGCTAAGTTGTTCATGGTTGATCATCTTATGGTATTGTTACTGTGTAAAATGTTTTCCTGGTTCTGCTCGCTTCACTTCTGCATCAGTTCTTATAAGTCTTTACAGGGTTTTCTGCAATCAACCTGCTCATCATTTCTTATAGCATAGTAGTATTCCATCACAATCATATATCACAACTTGTTCAGCCATTCCCTGGTTGATGGGTATCCCCTCGATGTCCAATTCTTTGCCATCACAAAAAGAGCTGCTATAAATACAAATAAGTCCTTCCCCCTCCTCCACTCCCCCTCCCCCCGTGTTTTAAAAAAATTTCTTTGGGATACAGCTAATAGTGATATTGCTGGATCAAAGGGTATTTACCGTTTTATAGCCCTTTGGGCATAAGAACTTAAAATTTTTACAGTAACATTCTTTTTTGCCAAGGGAACTATGTGTTTGTTTCCATTAGAATTAAGGCTTGTATGAGTATGTGTCTGTATTTAGCGGAATAAACATTTAGACTGTTTTGGGGAAAAAAAAAAGTTAAGGCTAACCACAGAAATAGTGTGACACTTGAAAAATTGTGAATGATTTAGTAAGATAAAAGTGAAGTTAAAAATGCCTGGGGTTTTCATAATGACAGTTTTTTAAAAGTAGCATTATAAATTAGCTTAAATTATGGCTACCATTTAAGTATACTAACAATAATGGCAATCTCAAATACATATTTATATTCGTCAGTGGGGTAGAAGAACTGTTAAAATGCTGATTCACTCAAAAAGTTAGTTATGCTGTATATACATGCTGGATAATAGATGTCAATGATGATAAATTTTGTTGTCTTAATATGTCTAGTCTCAATCTAC